GGACACAACATCCTTGTTTTTTTTTTTGTATGTGGTGCTGAGGATCGAACCCGGGCCGCACGCATGCCAGGCGAGCGCGCTACCACTTGAGCCACATCCCCAGCCCCTCAAAAATCATTTTAAAGAGAGTTTTATGTCAACAAATTTTTTTCTTTATCTGAGAATGTTTTTATTTTACCTTTTTGTCTAAGGGTTTTTTTTTTTTCTTTTTCAATTACTGAAGATTGAACCTAGGGCCTCGTGTGTGCCAGGCAAATACTTCACCATTGAGCCACATTTCCAGCCCTAATTTTTTTTTTTTCGTTTATAAATAATAGAAATTTATTTCTTACTGCTCAGGAGACTGGTAAGTACAAGATAAGGGGGCCATTAGATGTGGTATCTGGTGAGAGCTCCCCTCAAGTTCTGCAGATGGCCATCTTCTTGATGTGTCCTTGCATGGCCAGCTCACGAGGGGAAAATACTCTCATGTCTGTTTTTTTTTTTTTTTTTTAAATAAATCAGGTTTTATTTAAAAAGAGGTAACATAGACTTCTCCTGGGAGGGAGAAGTGGGCCATAGCTGGTATCCTGGTATCCCAAGAAGGGAAGTGTTCTGCCTTAGGCTTGCTTTGTTCTTCCTGCATATGTGACTAGGTCCAGGAATACTCAGTGGGATGGCCAAAAGTTGGGAAACAGGTGGGTGCAGCCCTAAATTTTATTGTGAGATGGGGGTTTGCTAAGTTGTTCAGGCTGGTCTTGGACTTTTCAGTCTCCTGCCTGCATCTCCTGTGTAGCTGGCACTATAGGCTGAATATAGAATTTTGTTGAATATAGAATTCTGAGCTCTTTTTTCCCTTTCAATACTTTGAAAATGTTCTGCCTCTTTTTCTGACTTGCATTGTTTCTGATGAGAAATCTGTAGTCATTTGAATTGTTGTTTTCCCATAAATGTGTCATTTTTCTGGATGCTATCACAATTTTCTTATCTTTAGTTTTTAGCAGTGTACTTTATGATGTGCTGCTTAGATTCCTTTGTGCTTATCCTATTTGGTGTTTACTGAAATCTTATGTCTTTAAAATTTGGGAATTTTTTGCCTTTATTTCTTCAAATACATCTTTTCTTTTTTTTCCAAAGTTTTTTTTTTTTTTTTTTGGTTTGGACACAATACCTTTATATTATTTATTATTTTTTTAATGTGGTGCTGAGGATCAATCCTGAGCCTTGCACACGTTAGGCAAGCACTCTATCGCTGAGCCACAACCCCAGCCCCCAAATACATCTTTTCTGAATTATGTTCTGTTGCCTTTCAAGAGTTTCTAAATATAAGTGTCAGTTCATTTTGTATTGACCTATATATGTATTCCTCACTGTTCATTTTTTTAAAATCGTTTTTTTCCTCTGTTGGTCAAATTTGAGTACTTACATTAATCTGTTTTCCAGTTCATGGACTTTTCTGGTAGTAAGTCCACACATTGCAATTGGTTTCTTTTTTATTAAAAAAATTGGTTTTGCAAATTGGTTTATGTGTCTTTTTTTTTAATTTTTTATTTTTTATTTTCCTTGTTTGTCAATGGACTTTATTTATATGCAGTGCTGAGAATTGAACCCAGTACCTCACACATGCTAGGCAAGTGCTCTTCCACTGAGCCACAACCCCAGCCCTGGTCTAAATGTCTTTCAAGGCTTTTAAAGTTCTTTCTTCACTTTTTCTTTAACTTTACAATTGATCTGTTGTAGAAAGTAGTTCATTTGTCCCAAATGGTTTTCAGCTGTGTGGATTGTCTAATAGCAGGATTTAACATGTTTTATGCTTCCCTGTGTACGACTGACTGACTGACTGACTGTAGGTTGGAAGTTACATCAAGAATAAAGTTTGGGGGCTGGGATGTGGCTCAAGCGGTAGCGCGCTTGCCTGGCATGCGTGCGGCCCGGGTTCGATCCTCAGCACCACATACAAAGATGTTGTGTCCACCGATAACTAAAAAATAAATATTAAAATTAAAAAAAAAAAAAAAAGAATAAAGTTTGGCAAGCTACAGCATATGTGTCAAATCTGGGCTTCCTTTGTTTTTATATATATTTGTGGGAATGTAGCCACATCCATTGATTTACATAATGTCTGTGGCTGCTTGAGTGCTGCAATGGTAGAGTTGAGTAACTGCAACATAGACTGTGTGGCTGGCAAAGCCTAAAATGTATATTCTCCGTTCCTTTTTAGAAAAGTTTGTTGACCCCTGATTCAGAGATTTTTGCATTCTTTTTAAAAAATGTACCAAAAAAGGCAGGTACATTTTTAGGTGGTGCCATACACATGTGGCATAGAATGTTTGGTTGTCTGCCTTTTTGTTGTTAGTACCTATTGATGACCATTGCTTTTTTAGTACTTTTCCATTGATTATACCTACATTTTTGGAAGATATTTTTTTGCCAAATAATTTTAGATTGGTGTTTTTATTTCATTGTCTTTTGGTGTCTATTGTTTGTGATTTGTTGTCAACTGTAAAACTGATGGCCTTTTGAAGATAATCTGACCCCTTATGCTCCTCACCTCTACTCGCTGAATGTTTTTGAAATTTTTCTGTTTTTGGTTTTCATCAGAAATATGTATGTAAGATTTTTTTTTTTTTTTTTTAATCTTGCTTTAAGTTTATAGGGCTTCTGTATCTGTGGTTTAGGGCCCTTTGTCAGTATGGCAAAATGCTTATCCATATACTTTTTCTTTTCTACCCCAGTCTCATTTCTTCTTCTGAGGTTACATATATTTTTATATCAAAGGTTATATTCTGTGCCATATTAGAGTTTTTAGGTTTTTTTCATTTTAATTTTTCATACCTTGGTCATTCTGAGTTTAAGAGGGATATTTTCTTCACTTTAAAAAAAATATTTTGCTGTGTCTAATCTGCTATCAAGCCCACCCTTGAGTTTCTTAATTTAATTATTGAGTGTTTTAGTTCTGTTATTTATTCAGTTCATTGTTAAAGTTCTTAGTTCTCTGCCAGAATTCTCCATCTTGTCATTGTCATTTATTTTAGTTTCTGGTAATTCTTTTATTTGATTCTCCTTTGGGTCTGTTTCTAATGTTAGTTTTTCTCTTGATTTTTTGATCATTTATTGTTTGCTTGAATGTCTGCTTATTTTTCATTGGTGCCAAAAATTGAATGTGGAAAACATTGGAGATAGTTTGAGGCTCCAAGTGATTGTTCTAGAAACCTAAAGTGTTTTTTTTTTTTTTTTTTGCGTACCAGGGATTGAACTGAGGAGCACTTGGCTATTGAGACACATCTCCAACCCTATTTTGTGTTTTATTTAGAGACAGGGTCTCACTGAATAGCTTAGCACCTTGTTGTTGCTGAGGTTGGCTTTGAACTCGCGATTCTTCTTCCTTGGCCTCCTGAGCAGCTGGGATTACAAGCGTGCGCCACTGTGCCTGGCAGTCTATGTTTTTTATAAGTTGTGCTATAAGAATAAACACATGGGTTGGAGTTGTAGCTCAGTGGTAGAGCACTTGCCTAATACGTGTGAAGCACTGGGCTTTATTCTCAGCACATAAAAGTAAATAAATAAAATAAAGGTATTGTGTCCATCCACAACTAAAAAAATAAAAATAAACACACAATCAATGTAAATGTATATTCTCTTCAACTGCAAGGATAGGAAGTTATACTCCATGTATGTATGTCAAATACATTCTACTGTCATGTATAACTAAAAAGAAGAAATTAAAAAAAAAAAAAGAAGAAATGAAAATTCCAAATAGTAGGAAGGGAGACAGCTAAAAGTATAGGATGTTGGCATCAAAAAAGGAGATATTTAGATCTCAAGGTTAAACATAAAAGTAATTAAAAGGAGAAAAAATTGCATGCCCTGTCTAAATTAATTGGTATATTTGTTCATTGAGTTTAGATTAGGAATCAGTGTCTTGAGGTTGAAAAGCCTAGATAAGTCTGAATGGGTGGTGTGGGAGTAGGTTAAGTTTTGAAGGTGGTAACCAATTAGTAAATGGTGAAAAACACCAAGGGAATTTTAGACCACACTATATTTTGCAGCTGTCTTTTTTTTTTTTTTTTTTTAAATTTCCTTTGAAATTGTTTTTAGCTTCATTGGTCTAAAAATGTTCATTGTAGTTAGGGGATGGATGAATAACAGAAGCCACCATGCTTTTGCTACAGGTGCCTCACACCTTAGGAGGATTTGTGGCTAATAAATGGCAAAATCCTCAAATCCAGTAGTTTTCTTTAACTCCTTATTAGCCCCTGTACAGCCTAATGCATAGTTTTTTGTAAAATTCTAATGAAATTATGGAATATTTAGAAAATGAAAAAGTACTATGCAAATAGGGTGATTAATCACATGGCTGGTAGAGAATTGAATAATTTATAATTACACTGAGGGAAAAACTTTAAAATCAATAACTTCCTATATGTGCATTTAATTTATTCGTATACTTAATTGGGTTAAATAAAATTTATGATACATTTTTGTATGAATTAGTAAATTTTTTTTTTTAGAGAGAATTTTTTTTTAATATTTATTTTTTAGTTTTCAGTGGACACAACATCTTTATTTTATTTGTATGTGGTGCTGAGGATCGAACCCAGCACCCCGCACATGCCAGGCGAGTGTGCTACCGCTTGAGCCATATCCCCAGCCCCAGAAGTAAATATTTAAATAAATAAATAAATATTTATTTAAATAAATAAATATTTATTTAAATAAATAAATAAGTAAATATTTAAAAAAAATACATATATTTTTATTATCTTTGATAAAATGAATTTTTTTTTTAAAAAGAAATCAAAATATTTATAAAACCAAATGAATTGTCATAGAAATGTAAACTTTTGGTTTCTGTTTGGACTGTACAATAAAATTTAAACATGGTGGATTATTGGATATTATATGTCATTTGATCTAAAAAATAATTAAAACAATTCCACTACTAAAGGAATATTGTAATTCAGAGACGAAACATTATATTAAAATTTAAACTGAAGTATTACATTGTTTCTTTGTCTTAGGCAAAATTTGGTTTTTCTAATATTACTGGAATTGATTATTCTCCTTCTGCAATTCAGCTTTCTGGAAATATTATAGAGAAAGAAGGGTTATCTAACATTAACTTGAAGGTAACTATTTTTTATATTCCTATAATTCTTTTGTTTATAATAAAAGTTATAAAGTTTAAATGTTTCCAAAGTATATTAAAAATGTGCTGAGATTGTTTGAACTCAAAGTAAGGATAAATAATACAAATTGAAACATTTAAAAAAAACTATTAAAATTTTAATGTAGTCAGTTTAGGAGGATTATCTTCTTCCTTGTGTACATGGGTGTTCATACTACTCCCCAGCATGTTTGCAGAACATAAAATAATACCTAATTGTGGTTTAGCCACATTAAAAAGCTGTGGATTCCTAGAATGGTATGATGCCCCCAAAGATCATTGGGTTTATTTTTGTGTCCTAGACTCTGTGAGATCATGATTCCTAAATTTTTGTTTCTAGCCAGACCTCTTGCCTGAATTCCAGAATTATGTAAAACTGTCTAAAGTTCTACTAGAATAACTAAGTCTCTTAGGTTGATTAGACCAAAATGAAACATGCTCCTCCTTAAACATGCTCTTAGTCTTTCCTGTCTCTATTAATAATGCCACCTTTCACCATGTTGCACTAACCCAAAACCCAGGGAGTCATCCTGGAATCTTTTCTTTTTTTCTCTTTGAACCTTCTCTCCAGTTCTTTTAGTTTTATTCTCAGAGTATATCAGAAATGTGAGCATTCCTTTTATACTTCAAGTGCTACCTGCCAAGTCCAAGCTACCATCATTTCTTGTCTAGACTACCACAGCAAGGAGCCCTTTATTTTGCCTTATTTTACTCTTGCAGCTCTGATGCCCATATACTACAGGGTAGCCAGAGGGATCTTTTAAAATGTAAATTAACTGGGCACGCTGGCGCATGCCTATAATAATCCAGTGACTCCAGGCTGAGGCAGAAGGATCACAAGTTTGTGGCCAGCCTCAGCAATTTAGTAAGGTCCTAAAAGCAATTTAGCAAGACCTTGTCTCAAATAGAAAAAATATAAAAAGGGCTGGGGTTATGGCTTAGTGATAAAGTGCCTCTAGGTTAAATCCCCAGTACACAACACACACACACACACACACACACACACACACACAGTAAATCAATTCACATCATTTTCTTGCTCACAATCTGCCTTTGTCTTTCCTTTGTATTCAGAGTGGAATCCAAAACCCAAACCCAGCCTTACAAAGTCCCTCATTTCTTAGTTGTTTTCTCCTTTATCCATTACTCTGTAGTCACCCTGGCTGTTTCTTTTCCTGAAACATGTTAAGCTTGTTCTTTGGTCCTGATTTCTTCTGCCAACATTGTTCTTGTCCCACTACTTAGCACTTTTGGCTTGTTCTCATCACTCTGATCTCTGCCCAAATATTACCTTAGCAATGCCTTTCCAGACTACTTCCAAAATATTTCTTTCTTTTTCTTTTCTTTTTTTTTAAAGAGAGAAAGAGTCTAGAGATAGAGAGAACTTTAGTATTTATTTTTTAGTTATAGCGGACACAACATCTTTGTACGTGGTGCTGAGGATTGAACCCGGGTTGCACGCATGCCAGGCAAGCGTGCTACCACTTGAACCACATCCCCAGTCCCCAAAATATTTCTTATCCCTGTCACCTACTGTCTTATTAATAGCACTTTATTGAAATTATTTGTTTAGCTTATGTCTTAGGGTATTTTTCTTTTTCCTTCTGCTGTCACTGAATACCACAGACTGGGTAATATAAAAAGATTTATATATTATATATAAAAAGATTTATTTAGCTCACAGGTCTAGAGGCTGGGAAGTCTAAAAACATCACACTAACGAGGTCTTTCCTGGATCATAACCTTGCAGAGGACATCATATAGACAGAGCGAGTGTACCACAGAGAGTTTGTTACTTTTGTTACAGAACCACTTCTTCAATAACCCATTAATCCATTTATGAGGAGAGCTCTCATGACCTAGGGACCTTCCAAAGGTCCTACTTTCAAACATGACTTTGGAGGTTAAATTTCCAATATACAAATTCTGGAAGACACATTCAAACCATAGCAGCTTATTTATTGTTTATCTCTCCTTTTATAGACTCTATAAGGCCTATTGTATTTTTTTAAAAATATTTTTTAGTTGTTGATGGAACCTTTATTTTATTTATTTGTATGTGGTGCTGAGAATTGAACCCAGTGCCTCATGCATGCTAGGCAAGTGCGCTATCACTAAGCCACAACCCCAGCCCCAAGGCATATTCTATTAAGGGAACTTTTTTGTTTAATTTACTGTTATATCTTGTGTTTGAAAAGTACCTGCAAATGCACATAAGTATACACAATCTATTTATTGAGTATAGGAGTACTTTTGTACATGTATTTAGGATGAGGAAACGTCTCTGAAGTTAACTCTTCAGGTGATTGTCATTATTTTGTTTCAGTATAATGAATTCTGTACTTTGGTTATGAGGGAGAGGACAAAACCCATTTTCAAACATAAGTACATAATATGCGCATGTTTAAGTCAGTAGGGGTTTTACATAAAACTCATTACAATTATTTTATTAAACTTGAATTAATAATCATGAGCTAATTACTGGATTTTTTTAAAAGTAGCTTTTAAGAATAAAGACCACTGGTAAATTTTTGTGAATATTTTATAAAATTGAGACATCTCTCTGTTTCAAATACTTAAATTGTGTTGGGTTTTTGCAAATAGGTTGCTGATGTATGACTGTAAAAATCTAAACTTCATGGTATTTACCAAGTTAAATAATCACAGTTTAAACAGTTATTTAATTTTTTGAGCTTCATGTCATTTATTATACTCAGTAGGGGTTTTGTGGACTGCTGAAAAGGCAAAGCAAAAGAATTTCTGATTTACCATGTTTACTTTAGGTCACACGACTAGGAATATAAGCTAACAATCTTATTTCCAGTGGCCTGCATTCCAAATAGATTTTTGTCAGTTTGATAAATATGTCAAATATTTTACTTTTTTGTCACAAACAACTTTTTCATAAAACCAGACTTGTGAGCACTATAATGTGCAAGTATTAGGCAGTACTACGCCTGGCTTTGATTTGTTTCCAGATTTGCAGACATTTGGAATGTCCAGGAAACCCTATCAACCCCTCTTACTAATCTTGGCTTTAATGATTTTGGAATGAAACTCATAAAAGTTAGCTATAAAATTGAAAATATGTTTATTATATGTAAAATGCCGTTGTAATTAATGGGTTTTTATTCATGATCTTTTACAAGTTGTCACTTAAATTCTTTGAAGATTATATCTTAATTGTTCTCACACAGACATTGATTTTTAATTTAGGTAGAAGACTTTTTGAATCTTTCCACAAAGCTGTCTGGATTTCATATTTGTATTGATAAAGGAACTTTTGATGCCATCAGCCTTAATCCTGACAATGCAGTTGAGAAGAGGAAGCAGTATGTGAAATCTCTCTCCAGCGTGTTAAGAGTAAAAGGTTTTTTCCTAATAACTTCATGTAATTGGACCAAGGAAGAGTTGCTAAATGAATTCAGTGAAGGTAAATGGCTACATGATATTTAACCATGTGTTTACTTCAGGTTTCTTGTCTTTAACTGGGTTTTTCCCCTTGGTGCTATAGTGTTTTACTTTCCTATTTGTGGGAGTTGCTTGCTTTTCTTCTCTGTTAATGACCTTGGTAATAACTTTTAACTGTATATACAAAGCACAGAGAAATAACATTGGTTGAGATCCAGAGGCCTTTTAAAAAAATTTCCCCAGAAATTCTGGCAGTTAAGTACTAAAATTTATGAGCTAGTAAAAATCAAGTTCTTTATTTCAGTGATACAATCTATTATTTAGAGAATCAAAAGTATATATATTGTGCTTTTGATTCACTGGCAAATCCATAATAATGCAAATGAACATAGTTTTTTAAGGTCTTACATCATGAGAGTTTAATTTTATAGATAGATGTTCTATATATAGTTTTGCTCTAGTTGTCATTTAGGTATTTAGGATTTGTCTTGTTTTCAGTGTATATATAACAGTTACCATTGCACAGAAACAAAATTGGGAGAATTGCTAGAAGTTCTACCTACTTATTCTTAAGGAAATTTCTGCCTTTTTTCGCAGTTTTGGTCCAAATCAGGAGCTCTTTTTGACCCATTAGCCAAGTCTGATTAGTGCTGTCTTTACTAATTGGGGTCTGGTGAGGATTGAGGAAGCTATAATCTATACACAAAACATTTTGAGTTCTTTGACAGACTGTTTCTTGAATGTTTTAAGAAATATTTTATCTGCCAGTTTATTTATACAGTGCCTGGGCATTTCCGGGAAAGTATTTTGAGAATGTTTAGGCATTAGCTTGCTTCTTCCTTAGAATCCTTTTCAGATTAGTATTAATTTTTCTCTTAGAGGAATGGGAGGAATTTTCAGGATGAAGTCTTAATAACTGAATGATATGGTACTAAATATTTGAAAAATTTGAACTTTGTCACAAGCTAATGAGAAACCAGTTACCTTAAGGGAGCAGTTTACTGTGTATTATTATTTATAACCATATTGCATATACCACAACTTAGGTTTTAACCTGATATTAAGGGGACTAATAGGGAGAACTCTTTTTTCTTTTTCTTTTTTTTTGGTACTAGGAATTGAACCTAGAGATGCTTTACCACTGAGCCATACATATCCTTAGCCCTTTTTATTTTTTTGAGGCGGGATCTTACTAAGTTGCTTAGGGCCTTGCTAAGTTGCTGAGGCTGACCTCGAACTTGTGATATTCCTGTCTCAGCCTCCGGGGTCACTGGGATTACAGATGTGCACCAGTACACTCAACTATGGAGAACTCTTTTAACACATATCCTTTTGTGTCCACTTAATGACTTTGACATGTTATATAATGTAAAACCAGAAGTGTTTGAGGCTGGAAATGTGAGCCTGTGGCTTCATTACCATTGCCTCTGGAAAACAAGAATTATACATGATTTATTGTCTTTTATGCCATTAATTTTATTATCTTCCATGTAAATTTGTTTCCTTTAGAACTTTTTAGGTCCTGTATCAATAGTCTTTCTCTTTTTCTGAAGCTTGACAGTTTAGTAAATGCTCAGAATTACACTGCGTAGGGCAGGTTCCTTTCCTAGTTTTTTAAATACAGGTGTTCTCTTTTACCCCTGGAACCAGCAGACAAAAACGTATTTGTCTGTCTTTGATAATGAGGAACAGACTTCAGCCTGGTATCGAGTACTTAAAAATGTGTCTGTGTCTGAGAACTATTGAGTAAACTCTTTATGTTCAGTTTTAGAACTGAATACAGAATTAAAATAAGCAAAAATGTTACAACAGGAAATGTTAAGGAAATCATTACATTCCATTGAAGATTTTGTTTTTAGGTATAAGTCTCTTAGAAAATGGTGTTTGGAGTTATGTACAGGTCAGTAAAAAAGGACTCTGCCACTCATCACTGCTGAAGGCCTCCTCAGATTGGCCTTATTCAAAGCTTGCCTCACTAGGCTTTTAAGATTTTTTGCTTCTTTCCTCATTAGAAATGAGTTTCATAAAACTGTTGAAATGAAGCTTGAATTTTTCCTGGATAGCCCTATTCATATAGTATAATTATTTTCTGTTTTCATTCTAGTGAGAGATAACTTTAATCAATTGCCAGATATTAGGTTGTTTTAATTTGATGTCCAAAGGACTTTGTTACAACTACTGTAGTAAAATGACAGTCTATTTTACTTAAAAGATAATCCTGAATCTTTCTGAAAATATTAACCTCAATACATAAAATAATTTGTAACTATCAATGGAATATAATCACTAGTTAAGATATAATTAAAATAATAAAATTATTTGTAACTATCAATGAAATATAATCACTAGTTAAGATTTTGGTGTATTACATTACTGAAATATAATAAATTCTGTAGGGTTAGGTTCAGTGAGCTAAAAAGTGGTTCCTGGAAAATTGACATTGTTCTCTTTTCTCTTGAAAATTTTTATTTTAAGCATAGGTAAAATTTTCTGAAAACAAATATGTTGTACACTCATGTACTTAACATAGTGACCCTATTTTCTAGCTTAAAATATATTATTAAATGGCTTATTCTCCTTTGGAAAAGTTTTCTTATGATCATTTTTTTTTTTTTTCTTTCCAGTATTGGGGATTGAACCCAGAGGTGCTCTACCACTGAGCTATATATCCCCAGGCCTTTTTAGTTTTTGAGAATGGATCTTGCTAAGTTGCCCAAGCTGGCCTTAGACTTGTGATTCTCTTACCTTAGCCTCCCATAGCTGGGATTAAAGTTGTATGCAACTGTGGCCTTATGATCAGTTTTTTTAAAAATATTTATTTTTAGTTTTAGTGGACACAATCTTTATTTTTATGTGGTTCTGAGGATTGAAACCAGTGCCTTATGCATGCCAGGCAAGCACTGTACCACTGAGCCACAACCCTAGCTCCTTATGATCAGGTTTTAATGAGCATTTTAATATTTAGTTATTAAGATTTGGTGAAGTTTGGTAAAGAATATAAATTAGAATGTGCAGTGAAATAAAGTATTAAAGTCCAGTTGTCACCATAATATATAACCTTTTTTTTTTTTTTTTTTTCCTGCTTACCACACTTATTTGAGTGCAAAACATGGAAACTTAGGGAATGGAGAAACCCATCACCCCAAGAAAAAGAAATCCTCCCAAACTATTAGTCATATCACTGAAGGAAACTGTAGGTTAACAATTTTTGTGAGTGACTTTCCAGCTATATTTGTTAGTCAAGTGCTGTATAACTGAACTGTATCCCAGCCCTGTTTTTACTTTTAAAAGACAAAGTAGTAAAATGTTTTTACATTTATATCTTATTTTATAGTTTAGAAAACACTGTTTTTTTTTTTTTTAATCTACACAAAATCACTGCAAGTTCCATATGGGCATTGATATCTGTAACTCCTTGTACAGAACTTGGGATCCTAGAGAATATACCTGTGAAAGGCAAAGTTCAGCTTTTTGATGTTGCCAGCTCATTTTGGTTTTATAAAGCTCTTAGTGTTATCAGCTCATTTGAGCCTTTTGCTCCCCTTGAGATAGAAATCACAGAGACAAGCAATATCATCTGAATGAGGTTTTCTTGGGATTTCTGCTCAGGTACAAGGGAGACAGTGCACAGTTTAGGGTTCCCAGATTGCTTTCTGAGTTTGAGAGGAGCAAAGCTTTTACAGATGAAAAGGGTGGGCTTAGAAAGGCGCAGTCTGTTGTTGCACGTGATTTCAGGATTTCTGCACACCTGCTCTCTGCACTGGGGTTTACACTTGGCATAACATGCTGCACGTGCACGTTGGGTTCCTCTGCATTTTGCTGGCAAAACAAGATAGAGGTGCTCACCACTGCTACCCCAGGAGGGGGTCATGTTGTGCAAGGTGGAAGGTGACTGTATGGAAAGCTTGCTGGAGGTCAGTAGCTCCTGAATCTGATTGTAGGTGGAAACAGTTTTTTTGAAGCAGTTTGCCAGTTGAGTAGAAAACCTTGGTGAGGGAATCAGGACTCTTCTTTCTTATTAACATTCCCCTTAACCTAACCCTAAACCCAGGACATTTAATTCCAAGTTTTATTGTTTTTGTTTTTATTCATACTGTGCTGCTTTGAAACTTACTAGTTTCTTTTCTTCCAAAACTGTATGGGTCTTGATCTATTATACAGATTAATTTTTTAAAAATTGTGGTCAAATACCCAGAAGAATTTTACCATTTTAATTTTTTTTTTCCTTGCTGGGGATTGAATCCAGGGGTGCTTTACCACTAAACTACATTGCCAGTTCTTTTTTTAAAATTTGAGACTTGTCTTGCTAAGTTGTGCAGGTTGGCCTTGAACTTGAGATCCTCCTGTTGGGGTTAAAAGCATATGCCACCACACTTGGCTTTTTAAAGCCTTTTCAAGTGTATAATTCAGTGGCAATTATGTATATTCATATTATCATGCAAAAATCACTACCATCCATCTTCAGAATGTTTATCTTCTACAAATTTATTTTTTACTTCCAAGTTAGCCTTTCCTGTGTATGATGTGCTTTTTCTATGTGTGATGTGAACCTAATTAGTCCATATAAAACCATATATAAAAAAACAGTGCCTGGAACATGGTAAGAATTCAGTGCCATACCTGCTGCCTACAAAGGAACAGAAAAGTAGGCTAGGGGAGGTGTAAGTGGGAGGGAATGGTAAACAGGAAGTTGAAGAAATGGGGGATGGAAGGATAGCCTCTTTTATTTATTTAATTTTTTTGGTACCAGGATTGAACCAGGGTGCTTTACACTGAGCCACATCCTCAGCCTTTTATTTATTATTTTGAAACGGTCTTCTAATTTGTTTTATGCCTTGCTAAACTGTTGAGGCTGGTCTTGAATTTGTGATTCTCTTGCCTCAGTCTCCTGAGCCTCTGGGATTACAGGTGTGCCCCCATGCCCAGCTAGCCCACTTTCTTTTTGTAATTTGTTTTTGGTCTTGTCTATTCCTTGTTCATTTCAAAGTGTTTTTTGACTGTGTACATGCAAGCCACGAACATGGTAGAATTTGAATGGTGACCAAATTTCATTTTGATTTTCCGAGTTTGAAGTAACAGTTTTGTAAAGGATTTGAAAGTATAAATTTCCCTTAACTGTGGGGTCCAATCCTTAATAAAAGTATTTTAATTTTGTCTGACAGGATTTGAACTTTTTGAAGAGCTGCCGACACCCAAGTTCAGTTTTGGAGGCAGATCTGGAAACAGTGTAGCAGCATTGGTTTTCCAAAAATCGTGAGACTTTTCCTGGGACAATTTCAGGTAGCTTTTTTAAAGAAGCTACACAGCATAGTAAAAAAAAAGGAATCATGAGCATGTAAACAACCAACAGTAATTTAAAATCTTTTGTATTTGAAATGTAAATATTTTTCTTTATGATTTAAAACAAATCCCCTGTAACTCTAAACAGTTAAAAACTTAAAAGTAGTAAATGAATTTACAAAAAGCATGTATTCTTTTTTTGTGCCTTGGTAAAGTTGAATTGAATGGAGCTATTTTTGAAGATTTGACCAAACCATTCCAGGGCCAGAAAAATAAGCAAAACAATTTTATTAAACTATGAACCATAATAAGAAATACTTCTTTGGGTAGAATGGTGGTTATTTTCAAAATTAACACCTGGGAAAAGATTGGCATTCATATATAGTTAAATAAAATTAGAGAAATCTGCCAGTTGATCAAGAAATATTTATTGAGCCTATATTTTGTAGCTGATGGTATTTTACACTGTGAGGATAAATGGGTAATAGGAGGTAATAAAACTAAGGGATATTATTATATCCTAGCCCTGTGTTAAGTTATATTATTATTATGTCTTTGAATCCTCCCAGTATCTTCTTGGTGTATATTAGGAAACAGAAGCTTATACATGTTGGAACCAGATTCTTACCTGGTTTGACTCTAAAACCTATTCTCTACTTACGTAGTCTGCTTCCCAGGGGCCAAATCTCTACCTTTGTAGCATTAACAGGTTATTGGGGAACTAGGATTATTACATATAACATTCAGTGAGAAAAGTCAATCAGTTATTTTTAGGAGCTATGCAGCTCCTTGTTAGTGGTGATTGCTAACAACTTGCTAGTGTACTCTGCATGAAGAGTCAGCCAGCTGAGTCTCATTGTCCTTTATTACTTTTCACCATCTCTTGTCTTGAATGACTTGCCTCTATGAAGAACTGGAGTTTTGTCATTCTGTGAAAGGGTGGTATCAGTTCTATAAGCCCTTAGGGCTATAGAGACAAAGGGGTTCTAGTTAAGGGATAATGTAGCAAGAGAATGAGTGTATAGACTGCTTTAAGAAGATAAAGAAGGTTAATACTTAATACCACTTTGTTTTTGAGATAATATTTTAATGTTGGAGTAATAAAGCAAGTTTTTAAAATATTATATAACTTTTGACAAATTTCAGCTTCTTGGGCCTATTGGGTTACAACACTAACAGAATTTTGTTTATTTGGTAAGTGTTCTTATTCTACTAAGTCTTGTGTTACTTCCTTTTCCTTTTTTTGGGGGGCAAGGCAAGATATATCTTTCATTTAGATGAAAATTAACTGTTAAGGTTAATACTTTGCTTGCACAAGATGGTTTTGTATGGGAAATTTTGGGAAAAGGTTATTTTAATGTGTAAAAAGTCAGAAATTACTTCAAAATGTTGGCAGTGTAAACTTTTTAAAGATTGTATTGGTTTCAGACCTGAGATCTAAACCATAAAATAGTTGTATAGTTTTTTTTTGGGGGGGTGGGTACTGTAGATTGAACCCAGGGGTGCTTAATCACTGATCCATATCCCCAGCCCTTTTTATTTTTATTTTGAGGCAGAGTCTAGCTAAGTTGCTTAGGGCCTAGCGAAGTTGCCAAGGCTGTCTTTGAACTTGAGATCCCCTGCTTCAACTTTGCAAGCCCCTGGGATTACAGGCATGCGCCACCCCATCTAGCAGTTGTGTAGTTTTTTGAAGTGATTGGTCTTTTTTTTCTTCCTGCATTAATAGTCTTTCATTTCAAATACAGTAACAATAAGTACTCATTTAGGATTTTGAGTGGTTAAGTATGTGCTACTTTTAAAGCACCAATCCAACAAAATATTTCTGTATAACTACACTGAAACATTGAGTTTGATTTGCTTGGAATGGATCTTTGTTTCAGTAGCTCCTTGAGTCACTATGTGAAGTTTGTTCCATTTGCAAAGCTGAAGCTTTTTTTTTTTTACTTTTTTGACTCTTGGAGTTGTTGCTAAGCTAGGTAGGAAAAGGGAATTGTCATTTTTCTTATTACTTTAATTATGCTAGACAGCAGCCTCTTTAAGGATTGAAATGAGAACAAATGGAAGGTCCAGAAATGCTAATAAAAAATTAGTATTTTCAAATAATACAAAGTTGTTAAAAACCAGGCCATTAAATATCCACGAGTTAATGCAATACACCATAAAAACACATTAATACTAAACTTAGTATTATTAAACCTTATGAATATATGGGTAACTGTGAATGAAATTATGCAGTTACAAAAAGGAGCAGTAAGTTATGTAGCGAATGCTATTTTCTGTGGATAAGAAGTTGGGATTGTAATTTACTTAATCAAAAGACACTTATTTTGAGGAAACTTGTTTGAAATGCAAATGAGATTTTTCTGTGTCTGTGGAGCCTGCACAGAATTTGTTGCTTTTTATGTTATTGCTATATAACAAACCACTTCTGTGTGTAGAAAGTATGTGTGCAAGTCCAAAGGGAATTGAAGTCTGAATGGGCAGGTGCCACCAATTAACAAATAGAAGGTTTTTAGAATATTCTGTATTAAGCCAGGTGCACAAGTTAGAGTTGTTTTTTGGGACAGGCATTTATGTATATGAGAATCAAACATGACACTACTCTTGGCAGCTTGACTAAAGCCATTTTGAAATAAGTACAAACTGTCCTTGATATTTTTCCCACTCATTGTAGCAACATATTTGCCACTGCCTTTGTGATAGGCTTGCAAACTTCTGTTTGAGGGAAGAAGGGAGCTAAACATATACTTTTTACCTCTTTATGAATCATATGCTTCAATTCATTTTTATTTTTGAATTTTTATTGTTATACAGTACTGAATGTTGAACTCACTCATTCATCTAGAGTATAATAGAAACCTTAATTTTTTCCCCTACTACTAGAAATTGAACCCAAGGGCCTCATGCATGCCAGGCAAATGCTCTACCACTGAGCTATATCCTCGCCCTTTTTTTAAATTTGATTTTGAGTCATGCCAAGTTGCCCAGACCTTGAACATGGGCTCCTCCTGTCTCAATTTCCCTCTTCCTCAGAAGCTGGGATTGTGCACCACCATGCCCTGCTGGAAACTTGAATTTTTAAGGAACCTACATTAAGTAATTAACTTTTGAATAGCCTTGAAATAATTTTCCTTAAATGGACATGCAACGAAATAGAATATCCCTGCCTATGTTAGTGGTCTTTAATTTTTGTTTTCTTAAGTTATTTTATAGGTGTGTGTGTGTGTGTGTGTGTGTGTGTGTTTGTGTGTGTGTGTGTCTGTCTGTTCTATCTGGTGGCCTACAATGAAAATATGTTCAAAGTGAACATTTGTCTCCATAGTAAGGGACCTGGGTTTTGATTTCCTGTTTTTAGCTCTCTAAGCTAGATTTTATGTGCTCCAGAGACAGCCTTCTGTTTTGAGAGCAAGAGACCAAGTGTTTTGTGTTCCACAGTAGTAACCTCTTCAGCTAATTGTAAGGGTGCATGTGGATAGGCTATGAAAGGAGTCTTGTCTGGTATATTTTACTGGAAGAAGGCTGCCATGATCTAGAGCTTGATTGTGGGAAGCAAAGATCATGTTAGGTTGAAAGACAATTGCAGTGGGAAAAAATTAGGAAATCATTGTAATTTCTTTTAGATAGGAAAAAGATGTCCTTAGAAGGGGGAGTGTAGGAGCATGTTTTATTAACAGTTAATGGAAGAAAATGAATGCTAATTTATTCTTCATACATACCATGCAATTTGTTAGAAAACTAAAAGAATAGTTTGAAATTCTTTGGTCAATTGATGGATTCCTATGTTAGGGGCATAGAAATGAAACTCAACATTAAGCAGACAAATACCCAAGCCCACAGGCTACATAAATGCTGAATAAAACCAGCTCTACAATGGAACTCTGAAAAGCTTCGGGTAAGAAGCCTAATGAATGATTGAATATGACCTTAGCAAAATCCCTGGAGTGTTGTTGAAAGATCATTCATTTCCAGCTTAGATGTCAAGATGGGCTCCAGTAACCAGGAAAGGAAAGGAAAGAAAAAAAAAAAAAAAAAAAAGAGATGAAGTTGGTACTTACTGGGTTTTAAAAATCTTTATAACAGTACATTAGACTAATAATTAAAAGGGCTTTTTTAAAGTTGAATTTTGAACTGTCACTGTGTAGACATGTAGTTTAGGCCCAGTGAAACCAAATTAAAAAGATAGGAATAATACCCAAAATGTGAATATATGAATATCCTGCTTTTATGGAGTAGAACTTCAAAAACTGGATGTACAGACTATAATGTACTTTTGTTATGTTGATACTATTGTAAAAAAGACTGAAACCAAGTGATAGATCATGCCTTAAAACTTTTTTTCGCAAATAACTTGCCTAGGTTATTAGAGGACGGTATAAAAAGTCAAAGTCTAAGTTTTTCAGAAGCAATTTTCTTTTTAAAATAATTAATTTTAGTTTTAGGAGGACACAATATCTTTATTTTTTTTATGTGGTGTCTATATTTTTTTATGTGGTGCCAAGGATTGAATCCAGTGCCTTATGCATGCTAGGTGAGCACTCTACCACTTGAGCCACAACCCCAGCCCCTATTTTTCTTGTTTTTTGAAGAAACAGTGAATTCTTCCATTTTATATTTTTTAACTGTGTGTTGTTATTACTGCATCAGCAAATGATAAGTATTTTAATGAACAGTCTTTATTGTGCATGCTCTGTGGAAGCTTCTTAAGAAAAGTGAGTCCATTTGTTCTTTATGTATTTGTTTTTTCAATACATAAACATTTACACATGATCCATCAATTAGCATGTCCTGGATAATATCAGAATAGTTTAGAAAGAAACATGAAAATACTTTGGTTGGCAAGGGGACTGTGAACTGTATTTACCACTCTTTATTAAGGTATTTACAGATAAAGCAGTTTATTATCAGGGATGGTAGCAGAATGGAAATGGTGTTGTACCCTGCTGTCGCATGCCTTACTACTTCAGAGAGGAGAGACTTGGGAGGAAAAGGTTATGTGTAGATAAGTGTGGGTGCTGCCAGTTCACATTTGCCTCCTAACCCTTTTGCTAATATGAAAATGTCAGGCCTTTGTTCCCATCTAATTTTAGTACATCCTGGCTAAAAAAATGTTAGGATGATTTCCAACTGTGGAACTTTGAGGGGCGGGGTGTGGAGGGGAAGAGTAGAGGAAAGAGCAGTTTATACTCCATATCCCTCTGCCTTTCTGTGACAGCATCTAGCTCCTACTCTGTTGATTTTGGTAATGAAATAAATTTAGATGTGCCAAAGCAGTGATAATTAGGTTTTCTTTCTATGTCATTGGTAAGAAGCCTAGTTGGAGTCTGAATGGGGAAAATCATAATATGGTATATAATAAAGCATACTGGGCTGAATTTAAGAGCTGTATGCAAGCTTTGGAAGGAAGGCCT